GAATGGTGAGGCAGTGATTTCTCTCACTCCCTAGAGAGCAGCATGGAAAGTTTTGATAGCACCTGGATGTCAGTGATCATCTTCTAATGCAATGTCTTCTAGTGAAGATCTCTGAGCCCTAGGCCCCCAGCTACAAGGGTTGGGACCCTGGGACCAGAGTGGGGACCGATGTTGACTACCTGGCACCAGAATTTGCACAGCTGAGTTTGGTTTCTCATCACTCAGCATCTACCAGCTGACCCCAGAGTGCAAAGCTAAAGGAATTCCTATGTGATTTTGGCCAAATGCAGCAGTTTCAAAGATTTGAGATACCTTGTGGCCTTGCATGCCTGCCAAGCTCATTTCCCACAGCTCTTGGGCTCCTGCTGTCACCCAGCATCCTCCTCTGGCTCCTGTGCTGGCTCCCTGTGTGGAGCTGAGGCAATCCATCCGTCATGACTAAAGGATCATCTTTAGATAAGGAGACTCACTGTGCCTTAGTGACTTGGCTCAGAGTGGCTGGTTACCTGCTCTGAGATCCACCGCTTGCCTGGTGTGTTATCTCTGGCTGCCTGGACAGGAGGAACATACTGGAGCTGCTTAATTTTAAACACACTAATTACAGAGCAGAGTCTCGAGTGTTGCTTTTAGTGCCTCTGCATGGGGTAATGCTGTGTGGTGTCTGAAGGCAGTAGAGCACAGCAGCTGTGCTTCGGTTGCTGGGAAAAAGGCAGCACAGAAGCAGTGGGCATTGCAAGGGACATCTCTGACATCCAGGTGCTAAAGCACCTCCTCTGTAGCTGAACCACTGGGATAGACATCTTTCTCTCTTCTCTTTCAGGTCTGGATTTACAATGAGGACCATGAGCTGATTTTAAACAACCTTCTTTGCTTGGACGTTTCGGAAACTCGCTCATCCGACCCGCCTCGTCTCATGAAATGTCATGGGTCCGGCGGCTCACAGCAGTGGACATTTGGGGTAAGTGGAGTGTCTGGCATGTAGTGTGTTGTTTGTAATTAATATAAGTGACAACAACACTACCAGGACATGGGGTTGAGTTTAATTACAACCAAACCTCAGATGTACTAAGTCAATTGTACTCTGGTGCCTGCATTTCAGCCTGAGTAAGACTTTCACTGAGCTCTGGGACATGCAGACCCTTTCCTTTGCAACACAAGGAGGTTTCTGTAGCCCTGTTTAGCCTTTTTCCTGCTTGTCACAGCCACACGCAGCACTTGTGGCTCACGAGGATGTGCCAAAGAGAACAAAATCCACCCTGCAGCTCTGTGCTGTGTTTGCAGGACTGGGAGACAGGAGCAGCCAGTGTGGTCATTTCTGCTTAGGGCTTGAAGGTGTGCAGGGCACAGGTGAGGATTGACAGAGGCACTTTTTTGCAGTTGCTTTTGCCCTATAATTGTATCTTGTTAGGTTAATCACTTAGAGTCTGGAGGGGCCGATTTCACAAAACTGAGCCAATGCTGCTGAGGTTTGGTTCCTGCTTACTAACCCAGACGCTGTTCTCTCATGTACTCTCTGTGTAGCAGTGAGTCTGTAGTACAAATATGGTTGAACAAAGAGGAAGGTGCTGCCTGTTGCACTTCTAGGACAGAGCTGCATAACGTTTTGGGTTCATACCATGCTGCTTGTTGGCAGCACAAGTTCCCAAGTGCAGTTAAATAAGGAAGGCTGTTGCAGTCCAGGCTGGTTTGGAGAGGCAGAGGCTGTGTGAGCAGAGGGTTCTGTGTGTGTGTGTCTGACACTTGCTCCAGCAGTGCCACAGCTGCAAATGGTAGTGGGAGTAGTGAGCTGAGCAATTTTGCTGGTGATAAGAGATTATTCAGGGTTCTTCAGCTTGAGTTAGTGGACAAAGATTTGACAATTCAGTGCACATAATGGCACCAGTGGTGGTGGTGGAGGATCTGGGCTCCATGAGTGGCACATGGGCCTTGAGCTGGCCATTGCACCTGGGGGTGTGGGAGGTGGATCTGCAACAGTGTCAGATTGGTGCTTGGTAATGGTCAGCAGCAAAGTGAATAAAATACTGGGGTTGATGAGGAAAGAAACAGGAACCAAAACAGCCAAATGTCATCGCTCCGTCATGGTTTGCCCATGCTGCACTTGTTGGTTGCCTCTTCTTGGAAAGGCTGAATTAGGGCTGGAGAAGGTTCAGAGATGGGTGGCAGGGCAGATCACAGGTGTGGGGCACCTTTCACGTGAGGATCGTGTGGCAGGCTGGGTCTCTTTAGATACATAAGACTTGTGGGAGCAAGGGGAAATACACTTGGTGTTGAGTTGCTGGTACAGAGAAAGGCTGGCTGTGCACTGTCGGGTACAGTATGAGACTCAGCATGGGGGTGTTCTGGAGGAGCGTTGTGTGCTTTTATCATGTTTTCCCTTTTCACTGGACATCTGCTTATGGCTATAAGTAGTGCAGTGCGGCTGTTCTCGTGTGTCTGCTCCCTCCATGCAGGAGAGCAGGAGGCTGCTGCAGGGGCTGTACAGAATACCCCTTCCAGATAGAAAAGGGACCCTCAGAGTGCCCGCAGCAGCTGCAACAAGCTCTTGGTGCGGGGAGATGACAGGATCCTATGGGGGGGGGGAAGAGAAGAACACGTTTCCATCTCACACTTGATGAGGGTCTGGCCTTGCCCTGGTTGTTGGGACCCACATCCACGAGGCCTCTTGTGCTGTGTGGCAGCTCCCCAGCACGTGGGTGCTGAGGGCAGTGGCATTGCTGAGGCTTGGCCAGGTGCACAGCAGGACACTGGAGTAGAAGAGAAGTTTTAATAACTAAATCCCGTCTGTCTTTCTGTCTCCTCCAGAAGAACAACCGCCTCTACCAGGTCTCCGTGGGGCAGTGCATGAAGGTGGTAGATCCCCTTAGCCACAAAGGCTACGTGACCATGGCCATCTGCGATGGGTCCCTTCCTCAGCAGTGGCACTTCGAGAGCTGAGACAGCGTGGATGCAGCTGAGAAGCGTTAAGCCAAGACCCGATTTCCCTTCAGCTGTGATTTTAAGTCATTCTGGAGGGCTTTACAAGGAGCCCTCAGCTGCTACGCCCGGCCCAGCCATCGCAAGGACCCTTTAGAAACCCTCTGCTATCAAGAGCTGCGTGCGTGAGAAGGTCCCCGCGGTCACCGGTCCCTGCTCAGGTGCAGCAGTGACAGGAGCAGCCTCGCTGCAGAACAATGTGTAGAAGTGCAATTTATCATCGGTTCCTTGGATTATCCTGGATTATTGAACTGGTTTTAAGTAAGAGAAATTATTAGAGCAATGTAATTTAAATTGTGAGATTTTAGCTTTGTGGATCTTTTAACTGACAATGACAGAAAGGAGTCCTCTTCAAGTATTTCATGTGCAGTATCTCATTAATTTATGATTTTAGTATGGTTTTACTGGCCAAATTATTTTACTTTTTCTGGAAACTATTTTTATTCCCTTTTATCTTTTGAAAATTGTCATTTGTAATATTTAAATTTAGTTCTTTTAATTTACAAATTTAGGACATTTCATGTAGTTTAAATTCTTAGCTGTCATTTGTCACCTCATATTTAAAACAAAGTAACTATTACAAAGTCTATTTTGATGACCCGTGACAGTAGCTGCATTTAAAATAAAGTATCATTTTTTATTAATCTGTATGGCCTTACTCTTTGTAGCTCTTGGACCACACAGCACCGGGCCCTGACTCCAGCTGATGTTCACTTAATCTGGGTCTTCCCTTGTTTTCACATCTTTTTCTTCACAGCCGGCTCTTTCTCCCTCTCACATCTTGGAAGGTTTGACAGATAATTTCTCTCTTATTTTTTTCCCTCCACTTCCCAAGTTCACTTATTTCACTGTTTCTTTAACTTCCTGCCTCAGCCCTGGATGCTTCTTCAGTGTGTGAAGCTGCTGCAGAAGAGGAAAGCTGTTTTTACCCAGCGTGTTTGTTCTTAGCCACAGCGACCTGCTTCCCCCTTCACTTGGGCAGCGGAAACGTTTTCCAGCAGCATGAGTACTCCAGCATCCAACATTTGGGCAGCGTGAGGCAAATAATGATCATGTCAAGGTAGTTATAGACACACGTCTTCCTGCAGAGAGGAGAGATTCACTTGTGCCAGATTGCGTTTGGTCCTTCAGCCGTCTGCCAGGGCAGCCACGCTGGGAGGAGGAGCGCAAGAGGAAGAGAAGGAGCAGGTGAGAGCGGTCCCATGCTGCTGGGCAGCTTCCTGTCCCATTCATCAGTCACAGACTCAGGGAGGCAGCAGGTAAGCAGGGTTCAACTAGACCAGAACAGGCTACAGTGGAAGTGTCTTCCTACAGGAAAGCTGGGGAAGGACTTTTTACCAGGGCAGGTAGCTACAGGACAAGGGGGAATGGCTTTAAACTGGAAGAGGGGAGATTTAGACTGAATAGTAGGAAGAAATTCTTGACTGTGAGGGTGGTGGGACACTGGCCCAGGTTGCCCAGGGAAGCTGTGGATGCCCCCTCCCTGGCAGTGTTCAAGGCCAGGTTGGACAGGGCTTTGAGCATCTTGATGTCTCACAGAGTTGGTGACAGTGGCTGATACAGTGCACGCTGTAACTCACTCCCACTGAGAACAGCCGTGGCCTGGCAGGTTCCCGCTTCTCTGCAGTAACTGTTAGAGCCCTGTTTTTTCAGCCTTGCCCCGGTGCTGAGGTCTCGATAGCTGTGGTGGTACCAGGCTGTCTCATTGCAGCAGTGATGTGGTTTAACCCCAAACAGCTCCTTGCTCGGAATGGGAAGAGATCTGGAAGGGTCCAAGTGTCAAAACTTGTGGGTTGAGCTAAAGACGCTTCAATAACGGGTAAAGCAAAAGCTGCACACGCAATGCAAACCGAGGAATCCATTCACCACTTCCCATCAGAGTGTCTGTGTTAGCAACACTTTCTTCAACACAAATCCAAACCATAGCTCTATACCTGCTACTCTGAAGAAAGTTAACTGCATCCCAGGCAAAACCAGCACAAGCACAATATTTTCTCTTTCCTTTTTTTTAGCCACTTTTGCAGATTTTTCTGGGGAAAAGAGGACTGCAGGGACTGGTCTCAGGTCGGGGCTCAGGACATGGCACCACAGGTTAAAATTTAGGGTGCAGGGGGAATCGAAGAGGGGAACACAAACGCCTCTCGCTGGTAGAAACAGACCCTGAAATCCTGAAAGAACGGGAAAACACACACCTGGAATGAAAACAGGAGGCTGTAATTTATAGATGTAAAATATTTTTATTTGTAAATGCTGATCTTCTAAATCTGTTTCCACAAATTCCAAAACCCATAACACTCTGTATACTTCAAAAAAATTCTTTTTTTGTGGTGTTTTTGTATTTTTTTTGCCAACATTAGATACTATTATACAGAACAGAAAAAAAACTGTAGGACAAATACTGGTAGGATGTTGGAATATTGTACAAGAGAAGAAAAATATTCAAGAAACAATTTCATACAGCTATTTATCAAGAGAAAAATATATACAATTGATTTATTCTGTAAGATAAAAATACATCATGCCATATACATTACAAGTTCAGAACTGTATCACTGAATATACCAACAGTTTACAGTCCACTTTAATTGTGCACACAAAAAAAAACTTCATTTTTTTTTTTTATATTTAGCCTGTGAAGTGTCAGTACCAGAATTTTAAGTACAAAATAAAAAGCTAACCTGGTTCAAAATGCTGATTAAATTTCTACAAGCAAACACAAAACAGTGTTTATTTTTTTTAAAGAAATGTAAACAAAAACAATCCATACAAACACATCTTTAAATTACATCTTCCAAACCCCTATTGCCAGAGTCCTGCAGCTGCAAGCACATTACGTCTAATTTTTTTCCTTGTTTTCTTTTTCCGAAGGCGATCGTCTCAGACCGAAGCTCCAACTACGTGGTTCTACGCTGTTTACGTGATTTAACGCAGGCTGAACAGTCACCTAATCTGGACTACTTTTGCTGAAGAAAAAACCCATGTCCAGCCTCTGTTTTGGGTGGTTTTAGCAGTTATTCACAGTTATCACAAATTGTAAGCACAAAAAACCTGACTTAAGAAATAGGGATGCAACAATATAATACAAATAAAATTAAGCTAGATTACCCAAACATCTACAAAAGTCAGAGCTGCAATATACACGGCCCTTCCCGGGCTTAAGGTTTACTTAAAAAAATTCTAGTAAGACCACAGTTGAGACTGCTTGAAACATAAAAACCCCTCTCTTTAAACTGAGATTTTGGTTATGCCGTCATTGTCGTCCCCTGTCCGGTAGCACGAGATCATATTGTGACATCCCTACTGACAACGGTTGGTAAGAAGCACCCGAACTGCTGCAGAGTCTGGTAGCATTTGGTCAATAACTATTTTTATACTGTATTTTTTTTTTTCTCAAAATATTTACACTTTTGTACAAAGTAACAGAGTTTGTTAGTTCTGCAGGTAACAGCAGCAGCTTGGCTTTCTTCTAACTTTCTTTTTAAAAATAGCTTCATTCACTTATTCAATAATAAATACAAAAAGGTTCTCTTATTTTACAGAAATCAAAAACTACAATAAACTGACTCATGGAATCAAGTATTTAAATGTATTTTAGTGCAAGTTATTTTTTCCCTTAGCTCTATCCCTAAGGAAGTCGTTTCAGTACATTCCTTGTTCAGTGGTGTCTACTTTTATTTAAAATTTTTCTTTAATTAGAGGGCCTGCCCCTTTATCAAATAAGGCTGTGGCCAGCACTTTGGACTTCTCCCTTTCGCTGGTGATTTCAGTCTTACATTCATTTGTGCCCACCTGCGCCCCCGCAGGTCGGCCATCGGTTCTTTGCCCAAGTTAAACAGTTTCTCCTTAGTGAGCTCAAAAACAAAAGTGCTGGACCATTCTGTTAATTCAGTTTAACCTCCATGCGTCTGGAAAGTTCGCTTCCGATTTTGCCGGCTTGCTTCTGGTGCTTGCTTCTTTTTTTTTTTCTTTTTTTTTCTTTAATTTTTTCTTTTTAAATACTTGAGTAGAAATCTGTACTTCCAGAAATGATTTTTTTTTTAAAATTTTTCTTTTTTTCCCCTTGAAAAAGGCAACATTTTTTCTGTCGACAAAATCAAAACGTGAATCACTTCTTCCTAGGGACAAGCAACCCTCAGAGACAGCAAGGAATGCATTCTAGTTCATCCACTTTCGGCAGTTGACAGCTCCACAGTGACATGGAATCTTGTGCTGGTCGTCTTCAAAATCAAACTTGTAGTCATAGCAAAGCTGCAAGGAGACACAGGAGAACGGTTACGGAGCAACCGGGATTCACCACAGCCAGTCCTGCACCCGTGGCTTAAACAGCTAAACACGCCAGAGGCTGCCCTGGTGGGAAATCCTGGGCTGCATCACAAGAAGTGTGGCCAGCAGGGCCAGGGAGGGGATTCTGCCCCTCTGCTCTGCTCTGGTCAGACCCCACCTGCAGTGCTGTGTCCAGCTTTGGAGTCTCCAGCACAAAAAGGACATTGAGTGCTGGAGCAGGTCCAGAGGAGGCCCCAAAGATCAGGGGCTGGAGCACCCCTGCTACAAGAACTGGCTGAGAGAGTTGGGGCTGTTCAGTCTGGAGAAGAGAAGGCTCCAGGGGGACCTTACGGCAGCCTTCCAGTTCCTGAAGGGGTCCTACAGGAAAGCTGGGGAGGGACTTTTTACAAGGGCAGGGAGTGACAGAACGAGGGAGAATGGTTTTAAACTGGAAGAGGGGAGATTTAGACCAGCTATTAGGAAGAAATTCTTGACTGTGAGGGTGGTGAGACACTGGCCCAGGTTGCCCAGGGAAGCTGTGGATGCCCCCTCCCTGGCAGTGCTCAAGGCCAGGTTGGATGGGGCTTGGAGCAGCCTGGGCTGGTGGAGGTGTCCCTGCCCATGGCAGGGGTTGGACTGGGGGAGCTTTAAGGTCCCTTCCAACCCAAACCATTCTGGGATTCTGTGAAATGGCAAGATTTAAAAGTAAAGAGGGGAAAGGAAAGGTCTTCCCCTACCCCACCCAACACAAAGCAGCTGTGCTACCACCGAGAGCTCACAGAAGGGTCTAGAACAGAATGCAGCCAGGTTGGCAGATGTGAGGCCCTACCTCCTCCCCCTTCTGGATTCTCCTGCTGGAGCTGATGATGATCTTGTGTCCTCTCTCAAAAGTCACCACCTCAGCCACGCAGTTGGGTGCACACGAATGGTTGATGTACCTGGAGGAACAGAGTTTGGAAAAGGGAACCTTTTAAGGAAACGCAGCCCTTCAGGAAATCTAAACCAAACCTGAGAATGACCTCAGCTTCAGGGGGACACTGACTTTCCAGATATAATTACATTACTCTCTACTTGTTTCTTTACCTAGAAAATGTCAAAAGAAAAATCAAATGTTAAAGATAATTCCATTCTTTCTTCATAGCTGCCAAGAAATGTAATCAAAGATGAGCAAAGCTCATGAAAAAGAAGACATTATTTGAGTGGAACAGTCTGAAGACCGAATGTAGCAGCTCAGAGAGTAAAGACCATTGAGAAACCCACAGACGTGAGTCCCCACAAACAGGGATGAGGACAACGCCCCAGATGAGGTCAGAGATCTTTGCAGAGCTCTGCACCCACCTTGCAGGACCTCCCGTCAGGGTGGCATCGATGACGTGGTCATTGTCAATGCGGAACATGTACACGCCACGGTTCTGAAAAACAGGCGGAAAAAAGAGCTGTAGATTTCAGGAAACCGTCACCGATAGAGCAAAGCAGCACCATGGGTTTCCTCCCAGTGTCCTCCTGTGCTCAGGATCAGAGGGGGACATGGAGTCATACGCGTCACCTTGTGCGTGCAGTGCAGCCCTGCCCCCACTGGTCTGAGGGAATGGGGAGGTCATGGCCACGGATCTCTGGTGAGCGAGGATTTCCCTCCACAGCGCACCCACAGCTTCTGCACCAAGAGCCTGGCACTGCGGATCTTGGAGTGCTTCACAAATGTGCACTGCTCTGAGTTACACGAAGGAAGCTGCTTTAAAGAATTCCCATTAAACACGGAGGCCCTGACATCTCTGCCAGAGCTCGCTCTGTCCCCGGGACAGAGGACGTGTACTGGCAACCTGACGAGGGTGCTGTAGGATTTATTAAACATTTAAATACGCTGATCCTTTGCTAACCTGTAAACTCCTCTGGTTGTATTTTTAGCTTATGGCATTTAGAGCACAGCAGCAAACAAATCCAGGGGACCTGGATTCATTGAACAGCTTCTGCTTTGTTGTACAACTTTTGAAAGGGGAAAGGGAAAGAAACCACGACCACCACCCATACCTGAGACTCATAAAGCTTCTCCTTCCTGTTTGCTACCTCGTTGCGGATAATGGTTCCGATGTATTCGATGACCATAGTGTGCTTCTCAATGTCTCTAGCAGCGTACAGGCCCAGGCCCTACAAAAAATACACCGCAATTGACAGTTCTGTAATAAATTGACATTTATGCTGCATTCCTCACCGTGCCCCAAAACTGTTCCTGCAGAAACTCCTGTGAAAAGTAAACAGAGATGAAACAGATGATGCTGTAACAGCCCAGACGCAGAACCCACCTTCATAGTCAATTTTTAAGATGCAAGAAAACGTACTTGGCTTCCCTTAAACCTCTGCTCCCTGACTGTGTGGAGGTTAGAAATTCACTGAAAATTAAAGTGGGCCTTACTAGAATGGAGAAACCTTAACAGGAACACGACAGCCCAGTAACTCCGACCTAAAATAAACAACAACCGTGTTCATACGCAGCAAGATTAATTACAAAGCGTTTGCAAAATGGTCTGTGGAGCAAAACCGGCAGCAGAACCACAGAAAGCCAAGAGTTTATTATTTTTATGAACGCAAACAGGTATTGACCTCTTCATGCTGGTCTCGTGCTGCTTTACTCAGCTTGGTCTGATCACATCGTACTTCCACTGCACATCCGTATTTTGATTAAGTTTTACTAAATTTCTTTAGGTTTTTTGAAGCATATTTCTCAGAAATTCTTTTTCTAGATGACTCTAACAAATTTTTAATTTGATATTTAAGATATTTAATATATCTTAATATATGTATTACATCTAATATATGTAAATATATTAAGATATTTACAGTAACTAGAAAGAAATCTCAAGTCTCTGGAATTGATTTGCCACATAAAAACTGCCAATTTTGGGGGAAAACTTGAAGTCATTTTGCAATTGCTGTAACTTGCAATATCAGTTTGATATTAATATTTACATCTAAAATAGACACAAATACAAAATTTATATAAAATATAATCTACAAATAGAAGTGTAAGTGATAGATTTTAACAGAAATCTCCCGAAAGGAGAGCTGACCTGGATGCGCGAGCGAGCCAGATACACGTTGGACTTCCACTCGGTTTTCATTTTGCGGTACTGAGAGGACTTGGAGTGGACGAACTGCTTGCTGTAAGGCGCGTTCAGCTCTCCCGTGACTGTGCTCTGAAATGACTTGGATGTGCTGGTGCTATTCAAGGTGTGAGGCCTGTAGGAATTGGGCATGTAACAGGAAAGAATACAAGACAAACTGAAGATTTCTCCGAAAACGGCCCCGAACCCCATTAAAACCTCTTTGGGACACACAGACACTGAAAGCCAGCTAGCAGAGACGACAAAGCAGCTCCTTTGCTTTGGGCATGCACATACACAGCCAAGGACGACAGGGTTTGTAAGCAGCAGACGAAAGCACAAATAACCCTAAGCAGCCTATAAACCCTGGGCTGTACTATGTGAAATTAAAACAAAATACCTTAACACAAACCTCTTGACATGGGTACTCATTTTAGGCTCGGCACGGGCACAGCCCGTGGGGTTGATGGCAAGAGGGAGCTCCATTAAGGGGTTTCGGCCATAGCGGAAAGTGTAGTTCTCGCAGGCCTCGACCCCTGGCAGCTGCAAAACAACAGAGAAAAAGAAAGAAAAACCCAGGTAATTATATGTTAATCGCGTGTAATAAAATAATTACTTTGCCACACTTTCCTGTTCCCCTTCTCACGTGTGCATCCAACAATTTGGGGTGATCCAGCGAGAACTGGGAGGGCAGAGACTCACCGATTCGGCAATCCTGGCCACTGCAGAGACTGTCAAACCAAAGAGGTCTTCGCCCTTCAGATAGCCGGGAAACAGCTGCAGCATTTCCGATTCCTTTCTCACAGAAGCAACGGGCTCCAGGATCTTGTCCCACACACCTACACAGCCACACGGGAAAGAATTGCAGTGATCAGAACATCGAGGTCTACCGCCCTGGTTTTAAAGCGAATGCCTGAGGTTATGGGGAACCAGAAGCCGACACTGAAAAAGCGTTTTGTTGTTGGCCGCATCCACCAAGAGGCCAGTGTTTACAGAGTGAAGCAGGGGGTGATTTGGTGAGTCGCTGTTTTGTCCTGAGCGAATCCCAAACGTGCACATTTCTAGTCCACCCCTGAGTCTTGGGAATGAAACTTTCAGTATTTGCAGCATTTTCAGTCCTCTGGCAACGTAACACGGACAGATTATCCAGAGAAACCCTGCACAGAGTAGAATTTTTACCAGATAAACTCTATAACCTATTTCCACTGATTGATGATATTCAGCTCTCAGTTCAGGTGATTCTCCCAGCACTGGTTTCACTGGACAGAGCGGGGCTGAGGGGACCAACATGTGCAGCACCATGGGGGTACGGCCCTGAGCGTCACAGCCCACGTGCACACACATCTGCCTGGTTCCCAAAATCTGCCTGGATGTTTACGTCTAATGCATCACTCCTCGCCCTGCCAGAGACAACGTTACCTGCCCTGAGAGCAACTCAACTGAGTTTTTATCACTGAGTAACTGAGTAATGACACCACATTTAAACCAAGTCACTTTTCATGAAAGGAAACCTACGCTGACATCCCTACTACTTCAATTCATTTTCAATGCTCAACCTCAGGTCTCCCCTGTGAACTCGTAACGAGTCTTATTTGCAGCTTTTACAATTTCTTCAAAGGTGTCCTCAGTCTTCACAGCGTGTTCAAAACAGGCCCTGGACGCTCACTATTGTTACATTAGCACAGTGTCTGCAACATTTACGTGAAACATTTATCCTACCACAAGTGTTAACAAAACAAACAGCAAACCCACAGAGGTCACGACCTCAGTTCACTACATTTACCTTTCGGTGTCGTGTCAGTCAGGACCAGATCCTCGTGCCCCTGCTCCACCACCTTGATGACAAATAAGGGGAGCCCGTCCTTCTCCTCGATGGAGCAGAGGTAGCGGCAGCGCCTGTTTGCGTACCGCATGCTCCAGTACAGGCGGCTGGCCTCATACCCCACGGGGAAGAGTGCTTTGGAGGAGTGGAAGGCCTGCATCTGCTGTGGCAGCAGCTGCCCAACGGCGTGGAAAATCAGGCTTCCCACGCGGAAAGTGTGGTCCCGCTCCCCTCGCTGAACGATGCTGGCGATCTGCCGCACCTCGTCGCGCTGAACGTAGACCCTCCTGAAGACCGCGAAGTAACTGAGTTCTTGCTCGTGAGTTCCCTTTGGTTTGTGCATGGGGCAAAGCATGGTCTTGTCTTTAAAAAACATGCATTGTGCTTTAATGGCACAGGTAAAGTGATAAATATTGGTGCACCTTAACCTGTGACAACCGCTGGTGGCACCCATTTTGTGACAGAACATGCATTTCATTTGCAAGCCTCTTCGCAGCGCCAGTTCCACGTTTATTAAGGCACCAGCTTGTGTCTCGTAGACTTCTGTAGACCAAAGAGCGCAGTTCAAATGGACCCAAAGGTCTAAATCCAGGTTCAGAAGCCTTGCTGGTCCATCAGTTAATCCATCACCTTCCTCGTGACAGAAGCAACATTTCCTGTAGTCTTTAGGCACAGGATCTGGTTTAAGGGTCGTGCCCAGTTTTTTAAGAAATTCGTCTATTTCTTCTTCACAAGGAGGTTTGAACGATCCTTTAGGAATCACGATCTGAATGCTCCACTTCTTCCACTTCATACCCTTCCATTTCTTACTTGGAGGCCGGCAGTCGTCGAGACTGCTGTGTATTGCTTTTAACCTCGGCTTTAGCTTCACCGTTACCTTGAGCTCGTCCGGTTTCGCCTCTACCTTGGCTGCCTCAAAGGCGGGGGGGAACATGATGGGGGGCGACGATGGCGGAGAAACCTTTTCCTGCAGCTGGGGCAGGCAGTGGACGTCCAGCGTGGAGATGTTGTTGCTGTACTGGTGGAAGGCTTTGGGCGGCCTATCCTTCATTGGCGACTGCGGCAAAGATGGAACCGACTCCTGGGAAATCAACAGAAAACTCTTCAGGAAAAAAACCAAACCAAGCCACGAACCAACAAATATCTCTTTAAAAAACTGTCGGGCTGGAGCTGAAGAGGCTGCTCAGAAAATCATGATGATGCGACAGAGAAAGGGGGAAACTTCCCTGACCCACGCGACCACGGTTTGTGCGGTGATACGGAGCACAAAAGTCCTCCCAGTCAGCCCAGAACGTGGTGCCCCTAAATACAGGAAACCCAAATAACCCTTTGTCCAGGCTGTGAATGAAAAACTGCTCAATTGCCCTAGACATACCTACTTCTTAAGTATTTTTAGAAAGTCTGGTTACAACACAAAATAATCTTAAAATATAGGTCACGGAATTCATTTAAAGAATAAAAATCTTCTGGTTTGGTAGAAGGGGAAGACTGGAAAGCATTGCCACAGATTTTTCCTGGAAACAAGTGACGAAGAAATTCCTGCAGGGCTCCAGATTAGCCTCACACCTTGAGGATTTAACTGTCCAGTCACAGAAAACAAGAACTAAACCTGCAGAGATTGGTTAAAAAAGGGGAGAAAACAAGACCAACAAAGGAAGTTTAGATTAAACAGTGCTTAATGAGCTTTGTATGATTAATCTTGAAAGAGCAAATGAAAGGATCAAGAGGATGAACACGACATTTAATTAACTTAATTATGTACATGCTGATGCACTTGTGCAGAAATGCTGCCCTGTTTCAATGCGGGTGAAAATGAGCTGCGTGGGACTCTGAGGATGTGGATGTAAACACATTTATCTTCTCCTCCGGGTTTCTTTTTAAAATTCATGTAGTTATTTATTTTTATTTCTGCTGAAAAAACGAGTAGGCTGCATTTGAAGGAACTGCATATTCTACAACAAACACAGGACTATGAAAAAACATTAACAGGGTAATGCTTAAAGCATATGGCCTGCTCTGTCCATTGGCTCAGGGGATAAAGGTACATTTGACCTAGAAAATGTCGAAACCAAGCTAGTAAAAAAAAAGTACTCAGTAAGTTTTATCTACGAGAAAATCAACTCACCAGGATCATTCAGTCCTGAATGAAGACCACTCCATTGTAATGATTCAATGAACAGAGATCAATTTAAGTTATCTCCTTTGAAACTGAATGGACCTGGAACTGAATTGCCTGGAAGAAGCAGTGCCCTGTGCAAAGTGCTGAGTTTCTCAGGTGTCGCAGACCCCTCGTGGGGTCTGTAGTGAACTATTTGGGACCACCTGAGAAAAATCCCTGGCCTAGTCCCACTTTAAATGGAGTAAGTTTCCTGAAACATCGTTCTCCAGCAATTACAGCCTGTTTTTCCTCATCACTGTCAGTCAGAGGCTCTCTGTGAATGCTTTGGTAATTAACGCTTTTTAAATGGCCCCTTGCCCACATGAAGTAACGGAGTAAGATGAGTTTTCCAGTTACATTGAACAAATAAAAGTCCTTGTGCAAACTTGCTGTTCAGTTACTATTTGCATAGCTGTAAATTGTTTTACTGTATATAAGCCAAAACAAAATGCAGAAAAGAGCCCTTAAAGGTGCATGGATGGTTTCATACAATGCCCAGAGAACTCAAAAGTCGACTTTTCTGAGCCTGCATCTCCAAAGCCTGCGAGGACACAAAGGTGACAACTGTTCTGCCACACATCTCTGTCCAACAGAGGGTTCTGCAAATCCCAATTTCACTGCATGCTGCTGGTTCAGAATCTCGATGTCCTCACACAGAACAACTCGTTTATAAACCTCTCAAACAAAATGCAAACTCCCACCTCTCCCCCTTGTCCCCTCGTGTCTGTTCTTCAAAAAACCACTGCAATAACTTCTGCTCACTGGGGTCTACCATTCAATACTTACTTTGTTCTCTGAGTTTTTTGCTTGCACAGCTGCTGAATAAAGAACAAAGCAGTTGTTGCTACAGAATACGATGTCCTTCGTTTTATCAGAGCCTTCTTGGGAATCCTGGGAAACAAACACAGAAGATTATCAGAAGGGCATTTTAATACCATTTTTCCCACAACAAGTGTAATGAAACAAACCTTCCCATCTGGCTTGAGACTCGTTATTTGTAGAACATTTTTGAAATAATGAGCGATACTGTGATATAAATACTTGATTATTTGACAGATCTAACATTACCACCACCTACAACCTTGTTCTTCTGCATTTCTTGCCTTTAGCAGAAGTTTAACAATCAAAATAAAGCACTCTATACCATGCACCCATCTGCTCCATAGGCACGCTTGCAAAGTAAAATCCACTTTCTTTTATCTTTAGATGGCAAAATTTCAGCCTAATCAAAGCCAGATCCCACTGTTTTATCTCCTGATCCATCTGCAAACCAGTACTGGGAATTCAGTGCTTTTCTGACTACATGAACCCATTACTTCTGTGTACAAATTCTGACTATATACCTTTGTTACATCCTTATCTCACTCATTCAAAAAGCAATGGTACTTTTTGAATGATGACTGTTCATAGAACAGTCAGAAGAAACTGAGACTGACATCTGAATCCCCTGAGGGACTACAAAGAAATGTGGAAGCGCTATCAGGCAGCAGGACAAGCAGCAGCCTCCGTGGCCTTAGTTTGCTCACTGGCCACCGCGAGCCCGAAGCCGCGCTCCCGCTGCAGTACCTGTCTGAGGAAAGGCAGATCTTTGAAGGACTTGCGCACTCCACTGCCAAGGACCACAACTTTGCAGTGAGAGCACCATCGAGGTCTCAGTGCTGAGCCTTCTGCAATGTTCTGGCTGTGATCCTTATAGCCAGCTATACCTAGAAAACAGAAAGTCTGTTAGAAGCTGACCCGAATCTCTGACAAGACACAGTATTCTTCAGTGGTCTACAGGAGGAGCATCCTCCAGGGTAAGGCATGGGAGGCAAGCTTTAAACTACGTCCTGATGGGGAAATTGTTTAATCCAGACCAAACAAACTGTGTGAACAAGGCAAAAATACATTTGTGTATAAGAAATATATAACTAAACCAATGTAGGAATACCTGCTTAAACAATTGTGCCCAGTTTTCCAGCACAGGAATTCTCTTTCTGAATGATGGATTTAAAATCAGACTGGACAAAAAAACCTTAATAATATTGGGAACTACTGGAAGAAATACCTCAGTGACAGTGATGCAGATAACATAATGGAAATCAGGGATGGATCAGACCTGTTAAGCTATGGCTAACATCAGGAGCAGGTTCACATGTACTGATCATGTCAGAAAAGTTTTATTCAGAACAAGAACCGATTATTTAATACTAGAACATGAATTCATGAGGCTGAAATGCCTTAACATTGACTCAGTCAAAATTTTGGTACTGAAAACTCTAGAATTAATGCCCACTCACCGTTGCTGTTTGCAGGAAATGGCACATTAGGCTGTTTCAGCCCGTAAGACCCCACGATCCTGGCAGGCCCCATGGCTGCTGCCTGGGGACCCTGAAGCAGCAGGTTCTGCCTGTACTCCATCGAGGGGTTCACCCGGTGACTGCTGGCACTTGCCATGGAGGATGGGATGTCGGGAGCGTTACTGACCTCATAGCTGTTGGGAATTCTGACGTGGAGCAGGTTGGAGAATGCTGCTACAACGCTACTGATGTTCTAGAAGCAGTAATAAAAACATACCTCTGTTTTCATCAGACAGGCGGTGAGACAGCAATAATATAAATTATTACAAGATTACAACAGCTGCTCTATGATATTATGCTATAACCCCTTCAGATTCACTATATAAAAAATATATTAACTGCTGTTGTATTTTACATATGTAACACAAGCTTATTTCTTTTACCTCAGCAGCTGTGGGATGTAAAGTAATTGCTACAGATATAAGGCCAGATTTAGGACCATTCTGGGATGGTCCAAGCTGAGAGGCAAAGAAGCCAGAACCCGGTAATGCTCCTGAACCAGGTTCTGATTTTATATAATTCCTTTTGGCTTCTGAACCTGAAAATAAAATGAATACACCAGGTTAATCCTACTTGCACATGGATGCAGGAAAAAAAAAGAAAAACCAAAATAAGAAGGCCTAGTTCTCACTGTTTCTCACCTTTTCCAGTACTGCTTGGCAGGATGGGGATGATGGGAGATGGTACAGGTTCTGGGTTCTCCTCCTTTACAACTGACAAGTCTGGATACCTACTTATTTCCATTCCCACCACGCTTTCAGGAGAGGAAGAAGGAACAAAGCTGTCAGGTGTGTCTCTGTCCTCACAGTGATCTTGAACCCTGGAACAAAACCCAGAAAAGCTCTTTTGGAAACCTTTGCTAAGCCTAAGTTATAAATCACGACAGGGAGCTATCACAGCCTTGGCTTCTTGCTACCAGTCATGGAAAACCATTATACTGTAGGCTGTGACTTCTCAGTATCTCATACCCCCCTGTAACGGTGGTGTCTTAGGAAAGACACAGAGAAAAACAGAGGCACTAACAGAGCCCAGGCTTCAACACAGAACTGTCTGCTCCCTGTGACTCCATCTACCTGGGTAAAAAATTAGTATTTAATATTTAAACTTCCTGGTTTAAGTGGTCCATCCTGCCTTGTCCACACACAGGCTTCAGTGTTCAAAGACACCCAACGTTTGGTTGGGCATGTGAAAGGGAGGCAAAAGGGAAGATCTCTGTCGGGAGACTCATGTTCTAGCAAGCTTTTGTCACACGGTGACAGAAACTCTGTAGAGCTGGGGAGTTTTCAGGCTGTCTGACACTTGCACGGTGCTGCAGTCGGGTACTGCCACGGGACAACAGCACCATGTTGCTCCAGGAAAAAAAAATAAATATACATA